CCATCGTGCTGTCTCTGTGTGAAACCAACTATTTATTTTTAGAATGATTCTTGTCATTGTTAAATATGAAGGCAAAACCAATTTTTTTGGTGGAATAGCTGTAACAGACAGAAAGAAGAAAGCCATCTGCTTTTGGGCAATGGAGAAAAAAAAAAGAAAAACAAACATGGAAAAACAGGTATAATGCAGCATAGGTATCCAAAAAATCTAATAATATGACAAAATAGAGCGTGATAATTTTTTAACAGATGTTTCGATGCTGTTTTGCTGTTATTCAGTCGGTCTCTGTTTAATTTTGTATTAAAAATCTGCAAACACTTTTGTAAATAGCAACTCTCTCTAAAGAAATCTAAGTTCATGCTTTGTATATTATCTGGTTTTGCAGGCTGAAGGGGTCTATCATTCAAATAACTATATTCATGCCAATAGTGAAAACAAAAAAAGAATATAGAATTGCCAACATACACACACCACTATACATACATACATACATACATACAGAAAAAACATCATGAGAAAAACACACATATGTATATACACATCACACTAAAAGCTGTGAGCAATTGACATTAAATAGCCTTTTTAGTTAAAGTATTCTTTGGAGGTGTCCATGATTACTTGTTGCCCACTCCTGATTGTGCTCACACGTTATTTTACCTACATTGTGGGACAATAACAAAGTGAAGTGTTGTTATGTTTGCACATCTAATTAGTGAAAATTCACTTCAGCTTTATATAACGTATAATAATAATAATAATAATAATATATATATATATANGCTTTGTATATTATCTGGTTTTGCAGGCTGAAGGGGTCTATCATTCAAATAACTATATTCATGCCAATAGTGAAAACAAAAAAAGAATATAGAATTGCCAACATACACACACCACTATACATACATACATACATACATACAGAAAAAACATCATGAGAAAAACACACATATGTATATACACATCACACTAAAAGCTGTGAGCAATTGACATTAAATAGCCTTTTTAGTTAAAGTATTCTTTGGAGGTGTCCATGATTACTTGTTGCCCACTCCTGATTGTGCTCACACGTTATTTTACCTACATTGTGGGACAATAACAAAGTGAAGTGTTGTTATGTTTGCACATCTAATTAGTGAAAATTCACTTCAGCTTTATATAATGTATAATAATAATAATATATATATATATTTATATATAAGGAAAATGAGTCCAGTGTGTGTCTGATGAAGTGGACTCTGGTGTGTGAACCCAGGCACATGATGAACCCCTTAATATTCATCACTGCCACCTTCGTATTTAAATGATAGATCAAAAGCTGATCTCTACAGGTTATTATAACAGCAGGAGTCCCATAACACACACACATATACACTCAAGGCCTTGGGCGGGAAATCAATTACCATCAAGACCTGTATGAAATATTTCACAGCTGTATTAATCACTTTATTTTCCACTGCAATAAGAGACAGGGGCTCGCACAGGTCAGACAGATGAAAGGCAATGGAAGGAACACATGATCAGTGATTTTCCTCCGTGGAATTAAAAGAGAATAAGAAAGTGCAGGTGTCTGTGATTGGCATGGAAGAGAAGAAAGAAAAGGCTATTCTTTTAAGGCAGTTTATGTTACACATCAGAGGGACAGAGACGGTATGTGAACAGTGCTGTGGCCACTCAGGTTACATGATTAAATCAACAATTTTCATTAGGTTGCAGCCACAAACTCCCTAATGTGATCACTCTGTGTACAAGCTAACAACTAACAACAGACAGACAGGAGATGGATGAGAGGGCAGAGGCACACAGAGAGAAACAATCAGAGGGAGGGAGAACAAAGAGGGAACATGAAGGAACAAAGAGAAGTGAGGAAATGCTTCTATCACCTGTCAAGAAAAGTTTAAACTCCACCTTTGAAATGCAGCAAAATGGAGATAAATTTCAAGTGTTTGCATCAGCCGGGTTGAAACTAATACTGTAAATAAGCTTTCTGAATGTCAAAAACATTTACAATGGCAAAACTGGAATCTGATAAGGGTGATTTCTTACAGGGCAGGCTGCTGGTCTTCTACAGTTGTAATGTTGATCACATTTTGTGCATTTCTGGGAAACTGCTGTGGGTAGTAAGACTTCACAACTTTTGATATATTGGGGAAGGTGCCACTGTGCTTACAATACAACTCTGCCTGTTGTTAACATTACATTAAACAGGAACATCTTTATAATAGTATTTAAAATATAATAATATATAATCTGCTTTTGTGTAGATTTGTATTGTTATATTACCACGGTACCCCCATGATATACAATAGGATGAGATTGCAATCTCTAAATTAAAATGAATTAATATGCATTCATTATCTATTATTTATCTAAATTGCCTCTTCAATTGGTAAAGTTAATTAAAAATGGTAGTTTCACTTTATTATCTTGTTTGAGAGAATTTAACGGCATCCAGGAGAATTCTTAAGAGTGTGTATGTTCATGTATGTGTGTGCCGCACACTGTACATGCATGTGCACTCAGCATACAAGTATTTTATGCATCACTTTCAGCATGAGAATGTATGAATGTCGCAGTGCCTGGGGGATGATGGCAACCTTATGGAAAAAGATGCATCACACACATACACATACACAAACAGCCTTGTAATTCTATCCTCATGAACACTCCCGCCCGCTACATTCACTCTCCAATTCACACTGCAGTAGCCCCTTGTAGAAGTGACCAGTGGTCAGACCAGAGTGACCTCACTTTCAGTCCAAAAAAATTTAATCACTCTGAAGGTCTGAGACTCACAAAGACACCCACATAGATATTTATACAGAAATTCTCTGTGCATATACATTTCCTATCTAACAGAACCCAGGTTTAAAGGGCATATATGACATGCAATCTATATACTTCAAAAAAACGCTGTGTGTGCATGTGTTCGTCTGTGCATGTGTGTCTGCCACAGGCTTACAATCAATAATGCTATAGGCCAGATGTTTACGCTGATGGAAATCAATGCCCTTTTTACGGCTTTGATACCAGCTGTGAGGACGCAGGACAGGACATGTGAGTATAGTATAGATGTGTATAATTATACAACAAAGTGTGAAGGCGTTACAGATGAAGCGATGTGAGTGTGTTTGTGTGTATGCCTGTGGTTTGTTCACAGAGCTACTCTGTAGTTTTTTTTATAAAGCTAACCAACAGCCTAGTCTATGTGCATTTGAAGATTTCTCTCTATCCGACACTACAATATGACGTCCAATCCTGCAGAATGATTAAAACCAAGACAGAAACATGTTGTGTGATACTTTTTTAAAAGAGTAATCGTGTCACATGTATTGATTATATGGAAAAGTTTACAGTATTTTGCAACAGAAATCAGTTTGAACTGTTTTGTTTTTTCTTTAAACAGTCTTATTCTGACAGTAGGACAAAGATGCTCTGTGTGTATGAGAGTGTGTGTATATGAGACAATGGGCTCTATTTTAGGTTTTAAAGGGGCTAACAGGTGCAAATATGAAACAATTCACCAATCTCTAACCGACCCCTGACACACCCACACATGATTTATATAAGTAATGTTATTCATGATCCCGTCTGTTTATGCAGTGAGGGTGCACCACTTGCCTGGAACTGTGACAACACTGAAAGCGTGCTACCACACCCTCTGCACACTTTGCATGACACACTTGACCAGGCACTGTACTCTGTGCCTTCATTCACAAAAACAAAGCCCTGCTGTGTGTGTGACACTGTGTTTGTCTCGGTGTGAGTATGATTTTGAACATCCATCTATGTAAATATACTGTGGGACAAACTGGTGTTCAGGACACACCTTCACAGAAACACATGCAAGATAAATAACCGGTTCCCCCTGCTGTAAAACACCACTGGCCCGACTCTCCCAGTCTGCACACTGGCCTGCTTTTCCCCCATTTCCAGCTCATTAAGCAACAGCCAAGAACAAGGACAAGATTGTGGGGAGGAAAAAATAGATCCTGTTTGACATCTCTAGACACATAACACAGAAAATATATATAAATAAATGAACAGATGAAACTTTCCACTTTTTTGCCAGCTAATGACGTCAAGTTAGAAATACTGATTACAATTAGGACCAAATCTTAACTGAATCTTAAAATATGCAATACTCTAGGTGACAGATAAGAGAGTATATGGAAAATTTTTACATTTGCTTTGCGTTATCTGATACTGGGTAAAAGCAACATATCCCCAGTTTTATTTAACATATTCTTTTAGATCTGGACTTAAATCTGTCAAATCACATCCTGCAACACAGTTATTACCAAAACAGGAAGTCTCATAATACTACATTTCTAGGAATATTATCACATAGGACTTTTAGCTTTTTGCTTTCTTCCCACCCCTGGCATTACTCATGTGTTTTTCTATGTATTATTATTAATTATTATTATTATTATACATTATTATTAAAGAAATAGCTATTGAATATTATACATTATAAGACAAATAACAAGTCCAGTCATGTTTAATTGAGTGGGTAGGAAAATATACTATTTGTATTGTCTACTAATCAGAGGACTGACATAGGACTAATACTTAAAACTTAATAATTATATAACCTTTTACTGCTGTAAACAAACAGCAGTAAAAGGGCACTCTGTGCTGATAACTCTGGATAGACTAATGATCATTTAACCTACTGCAGAATCATTTTCTACACCACCTCCGCTGCCAACACCCAGTGGGGATAGGAATTTCACGTAAGAACTGTTTACTCATTCCCAATTATTTCTGGGTAATAAAGTTCTTCATTAGCAAGCAACAGAAAGAAGAACAGTTGTGAGCAGGTAGTGACCTGTGAAGCCTCGAATTTAGACTATTTATCTGAAACCTTTTCAGACTTTTGCCCTCAGTGAGCAACATGAAAGTTAAGGTGAGTTCAGATGAAGCTCAGAATGGAAACTGTTCTCTCTTCTTGTCCCCCCTCCCCCGTCCCCTATTTCCCGCAGCCACCACAATCTTACCTGCAGCGCACTGCTCCTCATCGGCCCCGTTCTCACAGTCCCTCTCTCCGTCGCATCGCCATGACAACGAAACACATTTGCTGGCAGCCCCTCCGCAATCAAACTTCTCCGGTGGACAGGTCTGTCGGCCTGTTGTGAGGGGGAGGAGGTGAAAGACGAGGGAGAAAGAGCGCCGAGGGGGGAATGTAGGGATGGGAAAGGAAAATGGAGAGACAATGAGAAAGTTTGGGGAAACGGAGGGAAGAAAAGAGGATCGAAGAGGGATGAAGAATGAAGGCAGGGGGAGTAAAATGAGAGAAGAAATGGGGAGGAGGCAAAAGATAGAGAGAGAAGGGACAGCCAGTCAATGAAACAGTTTGATAACTTAGTTATCTTGTTGCTCAAATCGATTCCCTCTCAAAGGTCTGCAATTAAACTAGACACAGAGCGACAGAGGAACAAAGAGGCAGGAACACTGTCAGGCAGACACAAAGCCAGGAAAACATACACACATAAACAAACAGAAAAAGACATGAAACATGAGGAATATACACATAAAACAAGACAGATGAGCACTATTTGGTGTGTGTTTGTAGCCATGTGCACATCAGGGCTGCTAATTTTCATTATCAGTTGATGCATTGATTATTTCTTTTTATTAACGGCTCAAGCACTAATAGCTAAAAAAGGCTCCATCGAGATCCAAGAGCTCAAAGGCTTTACATTTTGCCTTTTTAACACACACACACACACACACACACACACACACACACACACAGACACACAGACACACAGACACACACACACACACACACACACACACACACACACACACACACACACACACACGCTGATGGCAGTGAGATACCAGACAAGGGACTGGTCTAACCATTGGAAGCAACTTGGCTTTCAATGTCTTGTTCAAGGACACGTAGACACAAGGACTCGTGGAGCTTCCTGTGGCCACAGCCATAACATGATTTGATTGATTCATTTTAAAAAGGTATTCAAATTAAAACAACATCAATGCAGAAAATCAGCAAATCCTTACATTCAACAAGCTGGAACAAGAACATTTTTGGCATTGTCGCTTGATTAAAATGACAAATTAAAATGATAAATGACAAGGGCAATCAATACAACTGTTCTCATTAACTAATCAACTAATTGTTTCGGCACAAGCACAAAAAAAACAAGGACAAAAAAATGCAGACTGGAAATACATTATGATGATTTGTCGCTTAACTGATTAGTTAATTAACAGAAAATTATACAGCAACTATTTTGATTATCAATTAATGTTTTAAGTAATTTTCCGAGCACAAAGGCCAAAAACTTTGTGGCTCAGCCTCTCAAATGTGAGGTTTTTCTGTTTAATGTTATTGTGAATTGAATATCTTGGTGTTTTTTGACTGTTGTTTTAAAAAAATGACAAAATGCCACCTTGGGCTCTGTTCACTATTTTCTGGTGTTTTATGGACAAAACTATTAGTCAGCGAATGGAGAATTTTAACTGCATGTGAAACCTTGTTTGATAAGATTTTTTTATTTTAAGAGAAAATCAGTGTAAGTGAATGAAGTGTTACAGTGCATTAAACATACACACACACACACACATCCGCTATATGTGTAAGTGAGAAAGTGGTCCCTATAGGTAAAAGCCCATTATAGTGGAGAAGGCCATTGTTCCTACATGTGTAGCCCGTGGGGTTAGCACAGGAGGAAAAATACAGCCGCTCAATACATCAAATTTACACAGTCCCCACAGCAAATCCTTGTCCCTTTCTCCTGCAAACCCCCTCACCCTGTCTCACTCCCCCCTGCCTCCCCCTTCAATCTCTCTCTCTCTCTCACACACACACACACACACACACACACACACACACACACACACACACACACACACTCTAACACCATAGGGACTCTAGCCCCAGATTACATTACAGAGCTGTGTCAAACTCAACTCCATCAATTATACATATTTGACCACCAACATGCTTCTTGGCAACCAGCCTGAGTGTTTGTGTATGCGTGTGTGTGTGTGTGTGTGTGTGTGTGTTGCAGCCACAGATCAATAGTACCTATGGGATTTGCCCATTTCAGTCTCATTCTCTTTTATTCATCTCGTATTTCTTTCTTCTCATCTTTATTTTGAACAGTACTGTAGAAGTCGCTGCCGCTCAAACGCTGGCCCTTGTGGGGGGGTGGGGGGTGGGGGGGTTTCAACCTTGCCGGTAATGATTGCCAGGATTTTCTCCAACAGTGCAGTTTAGGCTGCCTGGTCCTACACTACTGAAACAAAAGTGGCTACTTGCACTTTATTTTTCTGAGGAACTGGGCAGGGTTAAGGTTTGGATTCCCGTCTTTTGCTAGTGCTGATCTTTGGGATAACCACTCCCCCCGTCCACCCTCCCTCCCTCCCACCCGTCACTCTTCTTCCTACTGAATATCAGGCTCTTGTGGGAGCATCTTTTCAATGTGTCTCCACTAAATGAGGTTTCCCTTGGCCTTTAAAGAATAA